TTGAGTTACTACACTTGCAAATATAAAATGCTTTATAGTCTTATATTTATAGGACACAACTCTAGATAGTCCACTTATTGGGGAGAGTTTGCTGAAGAATAATATTTTGTAATGTTGAACTGTCAGTTAACAAGTCAATTAATTTACAATTAGAACAAAAAAATATTATTAACTTTAAATAAAATACTTTTGAATTTACAAATACTTAGTAAGTAAAACTGTCAACAAAGAAGTAATCAATTTAAATTATGATTTAATTAGCTTAAAAAATTAATATACATAATCTGCATAATTAGAAACTCAATATTTAATAAAATATATAGTAAAATTAAATTTTAAAATAATAAGTAAAAATAAAAGTATTTATCAGCTGTTACATAAATTAGACAATCATTCATATAGAATTTCTTCAACAGAACTATTATATTACAATATAATATTTTACTATATATTCACTCATTTTATTCCACTTTTTTAAAATTATTAACTAATTTTTTTCTCTTAAATTATTGTGTACGTCATAAGGAATGTGTATTTCGACAGCGATAAAGTTCTCATATAAAACTTCAATATTTGACAAATTGATCCACAAAATTAATAACGTATTATAGATATTTTTTTGTAATTTTATAATAGTATTTTTTTTCAAATGCGCGTACCTGCGGCATCACTTTCCGTTGATGCTAGCTAGATACAGCCCGCCATTTTTTTTTGTGTAACTTTATAAAACGCGTACCAGCGACAAGACTTTTTGTACAAGTAGGCCAGATACTGCCCGTCTTTTTATCATGTAAATAATAAACACATTTTTGTTACACCAAATACAAATATTAAATTGTGTGCAATAAATTTATTAAAAAGTTAAGAGAATAACAAGTTCAATAAGCTGTAAAATGAAACAAAATAATCCAGAATTAAAATGCTTGTATAAAATTAAACGAAAACCTTTTAATACTTATTTTTAGTCATTTAAGAAAACATTAAAGCATTTTCAATAATATTTTTAAATTTAAATATTATTTATTAATTGGTTTGTATAAAATTAAATTACTTGATTGTTAGTTTTAAAATATTTGTTTGTCACTTTAACAATATTATTTATCATGTATTATTTATCATGTAAATGATAAATATTTACGATTTTTAATTTAACTATTATTTATTATTGGTAAATATTGGTATGTATAAAACTACTTAATGAATTGATCGATTGTACTTAAATTACTCATTTGACAGTTCAACAATATTATAACAATTAATTTATCTTGAACTATTTATTATCAAATAAACTACTTAAATATATATGGTACTAAATTTAAAATAGCTGATTGATGGATAGATAAATAATAATTACTTAATAAAACCAAAGATTTTCTAATTTGAAAAAAATATTAAATGAGTTAATTATTTTAATTTTGTTATTGTTGCATAACTTAAGAATTTTTATATAATATAAATATAAAGTAATAATCATAGATTAGATAAACTTATTATAAACAGCAATATAACGTACTTACTTGAGAAGGTTGATGAAACGATTGACAAAATTTACAAAAGAATATTTCGACAACTGTAAGACTACCCCCTCTTAACATGATAATAACTCCTCGATGGTTGAGCGACGACGATAGACTGTATTCGACTAAAGGTGTTCATATCAAACACAAAACACCAATGGTAGGTACCCCCACCACGTTTTATAATATGTGATGAAAACGTAGTCTAAAGAGTAAAGACGCAAATCTAAGCCATCAAAATCATTAAAAATATTGAAAAAATTTTTTATTTAATAATTTGTATAAATTAAATTTTATCTAGTACATGTTAACTACTCATTAATATAATAATGATAAATTATAATACTGATCTATTCAATATTTAGAGATATATTATTAAATAAAAACTTAATAGATGAAAATTAGTATATATTCAATAATCAAAAATAGTGCGATTTCACTATATAAAAGGCAAATCTAATAATTGAATGAAAGATTATACCATAAAATATTAATAACTTACAGCCATAGAAACTCCATTAAAAAAAAAAAAAGAAAATTTATAATCCAGAAAGTGTACGATATATACTAAATAATGCGAATTACTTTTTATATGTATACACTCAAATAATGGATGCGAGCCTGAAGAATAACTAAAATTTTAAAAATAAAGGACACCCATAATAGAACGACTACGACTAATAGAGAAAACGAATTGGTTATCAAAAACATTATAAGTATAGTATTAGACCGATTATTTATTGTACGTTTACTGTAGACGATAATGTCGATAGATATTTAATAATAGAATTTATACCTGCATGACAAGGTTCAGCTGGTCACTTGACCGTGACTCAAGATTTCGCAGAAGTTGTTTATCAATAAAATTACCATTAAGCAACAAGAAACCGTGAAATGGTTGTTACATATTTATTCATTGAATAAGACAAATATTTTGGAATTTTTATAAAAATAATATTTTTAAGTATTTAGAATTTTATTTGAAGAGGTATTATAGGCAAATCAATCGTTAAATAAACTAATTAATTTAATTTAAAATCAAGTTAACGTAAAATCTAAATATCTATGTTAAGTTAATAAATTTAACTCCTTTACGCCTAGCCATGTATAATATATAATATAGAGTATTATAATTAAAACAATAAATTGTTTTGTACGAGGCAGCTAGACCGTATGACGGCTAGTTGTACACCGCACTAGAATGCCGTTTTACCTTAAGCCTGTTTAAATAACTATTATTGAAGCGGGAATGAGTCACCTGTGGGATGACGGCTAACTGTACATCCAATAATTAACGAGAGTAAACAATAATTAAATAACAAATAACCACATATATTAGTAATTCATGAGAGAGTATCTTAAATTTAAGGGGCAGCGGAGGGGCCATTAAATAGTGCGGCAAAAACAAAGATAGTGTTAAACTCAATTAAAACAAACAATAAATAATATAAAACTCAGTTGAACAGATGAAGTTGTTGATAATGATGAGTGGACTGTATGAGATCTTATGGTAATGGTGTCGAACATCTGAGTATACGAGGCAGTGTAGATCCAGGCACGTAATGGCAGATGAGAACAGACAGCGAAAAAGCGACTATGGCAATGAAGATATTTAGTGATGGTCAGGGCCCAATCACTAGTGGCGTGCAAGGGCACGAACACTGAGCACAAGGGAGCAAATAATTCAAGCAAAGGCGCTTGCTACAAAAAATAAAAAATGACCCATAAACTAATGACTAACGACGTTGAACTATACACCGATGACAATTGACACGGAGGTCATAGATTGCCGTGCTGAGTGGTCAAAGGGATGAGTGAAGCAAGACACGCTGGAGAACAGTTGTCACACGATATAATATAATAAACAATGACTGTAACAACTGCCTACTAGTAGATCTTTGCTAAAGACATTCTGTACCAATCAATAATAATCTTCAATATTATAATAATTTATGTGCACACGACCGGCCGCAACATCCCATCCCGGAGGGCGCAAAATCATAAAATGAATAATTTACGGTAAAAATTGTTATTCCTGTTATGATTTGCATACAACTTCAATGTCATTTAGATTTATTGGTACTTTGGTTAATTGGTCAAAAATTGTATTTAGTGTACTACTTATAGTAATATTTTTCTACTTACAAATATTTATTGAACTGGATATCTTTTTTGATCGATACGGATGTCGAAGTAACATTTCGGTGAAATACCGAGCTGTAATATATATTAGCTAGGCATATAATTAATATAGAAAATATTATCTAAAAATCTAAAAACTAAAAAAATTGATTTGAATAGTCCATGAAGTTTCAATTTTATCGTGTAATATAGGTCATTATTTTGTAAAACTGAAAACAAAGTATTTTTGTAATGTTTGGTTTAACTATGAATTTCTTGATCTATTATTACAAAAATATAATATAGTCTATTATTTGTAAACCTAGAAGTAGAACACTTTTGTAATGTTTAGATTAATTGTAATCCCCGAATTATTGTTACTAGATCAGGAAGTAAATATTTATAAACATTTTTGAAAATGATTACTATATGAATTTTATAAAAAGAAAAACAAAATATGTTAGTATATAAGATGAAATGGAATGAATTGTAGGGGGAGGAGAGAAAGAGAAGACCTCGGGAGTACCGAAGGTAATCTCTTTCCTCGTGATTCGTTTGTGACATTAAGTGTTCATTTTGTGTATTATTTATTTATTCTGTTTTAAGTGTATCAATATTTTATATAATTTTACTTTGATTATATCTTTATTAACTACATTTTGAGTTATTATTGAACTATTATAACTATTAGTTAGTACAAAAAGATTGTTTCATATATAAATACAACAATCGAAAAAATTATTCCTAATAATAATGTTTTTTTTTGTTTTATCGTGCAAACAACAAATTATTGGGGGTCGGAATCGATCATTTTATATAAAATATTCAAAATTAAATGCCTTGTTAAAACTAAAATAAATTTATTCGTTACATTCATTTTTTTAAATATAATACTTTTAAAAAAATTAAGAAAAACGTGCATAACTTTAAATATTATTATAATATCCATCGTTAACAATTATTATGCCATTGAATTATAGTACATTGTTATTGTGAAATTCTTTATGAATCTCATAATTTACTATAAATAAGTTGTTAAAATAGTAGATACATTTGTTAACTTAAAAACTTAAAATTGGTTGACTTTTTAACTTAATTGTATCCATAACTGTATATTATAATATTTGTATATTCACATAATAAGAACAATAAATTATTTCAGTCAAGATAAATTTATATTAAATTTGAATTTCTTTAATGAAATAATGTTACAAAGAAAAATAAGATTAAAATAAAATAACAAAACACCAATTAAACATAGAAAAAGTAAAAAAAATGTTTGGTGGTATACAAATAAAAATTTCAATTTATAGTGAATATTAAGAAAATTTATATAAAATACAACAATAAAATTTCATTCATAAAAAATATTAATAGAATAGCTCGCCAGCAATAATTTCATTTTTGTGTCTTAATCTTATAAAAGGCATAAAATTTGCATTTATTGGTGTTGTATCTCCTCGAGACATTTTTTCTGCCAGCTCAACAGTAAATGGCCCACAATCATGTCCATTGGTTTGGCGAGATGTCTCGCCTATTTGTAATGTCTATGTAGAAGCTTTTCCTTTTTTATCCATCTCCCATTCAATTAAGAAATTTTTTAATGTCATTGGATAAGGACCCTTATACGACTTAAGACTATCATATGATGTCACAGTCTTTTCAGGTATATTAACCACTGTCAATATCCAATGACTCTCATATACATTCATGGGCACAAAAAGTAATTTTATTGTGTGAATATCTTTTTTTATCCATCTTCTTACAGCTGGATAACCTCCTCGAAGATACGCTACAATAAAATCAGTGACAACTGCATAAACTTCACCTTCTGACCGTTTTACTATCATTTTAATGTACTCATTAATTGTGTCTGAAGTATACCATGATGTGGGCGATTTAAATGAAGGTGCATTATACTGATCAAGAGATTTTGTGTTCTGATCTTGCATTACTTCTGCAAGTGTAACCATATTTAAACATTTTTCATAAAATTAATAAAAGACTTTGTTGAACAGTTTACTATTATTTAGGTTTATTTAAGGTTTTGGAATATGAAATTAAACACGTATAATTACTTTTGTTTAAAACGTCCATGGACCCCCTTAATGACACGCCTCTGCAGAAGTTATATTAATTTAACTCGTATTATTATAATTAATTATGTTTAATAAATAATCTTTTTTTATTTAATTTTACATAAAATAAATAGATTAAATAACTAATTACCTTTTTCTTTCTCTGGTACTTTTATTACTTCAATAGTGGACAGAGCAAGTAAATTTACGTCATTCGGCGTATTTAAGGTCAAAGGATTAGAACTAACTTTTGGCTCTAAAATAATTTATGTTTAAAAATATTACATATTTGTTTCAAAAATCAAAACTTCATATTTTTTAAAAATGAATTATATTTTAAAAGTTGTATACTTTTTATGACTTTTTCATCTTCTTCGGATGAATTTCTTTTTAAATTTGGTCGAGCAGTAGTATTAGAAGATATCTCAAAAAGTTGTTTTTTTATTTCGGATTTGCGTTCCAAATTTTTCTTATGAAAACTCTTAACGGATCATAAAAATATATTTAATTATATGATAAATTTATTTAAGAAATCTGCTTTAAGTCCAAAAAATGGTTTAGGGTATACCCTAAAATCTTTTTATTGAAATAAAGCATAATAAAATATACCTTTTCTAACAAATCAGCTGATATTAATAGCGGATTGTCTTTTGAAATTGCTATATTTTTTTTTTCTGTTGAATTTAAAATTTCATTTTTATATTTTTCAGATTTTTCATTCTGAAAAAGTGTTCCGAATTCTCTTTGCTGCATCATATTCTAGGTAACCAAAGAGATATTTAAATAAACAAATAAACTATACTTAATATTATATTATTATCTTCGATAAAAATTGAATTTCCCATAAAAATCTAATAGAAAAAATAGCAGAATAATATTAAACATTATGTTACTGCATTTATATTAAGGGGGTTGATAGTTTATTTTATATTTTTGAATCAGACAAACCCCAATAACATAGCTAAATCGAATAAATATATTAATATAATTATAGTTACCAATTTTTCTGGAATAATTTTATCATTTTTATTCGTTTTTCGATACGTGCGTTTTTTTGGAATAATGGAATTTTTTATAGGATAAATATTTTTATTAATAATTGCTGCAAATTGAATATAATTTTAATAATTATTAATTAAATAATCAATTTCGAAAAAGGTTTTTAATATTAAAATAGTTAAATTAAAGTAAAGCGACTGAATTATTGTTATATATGAATAAGAGAACTTATTATTAATTTTTCTTATATTTTATATTAAAAAACTTTTTCTCTATTCGAAATAGTTAGTTTAATTATTAATCTTAATAGTGTTTACAGATAATTCTTCCATCTTTAGTTGACTTTTTTGATATTTGTCCTTTATTTGTATTATTTAAAACACAATTGGAATGCATGAAACGACGATTCCATATTTCTTCAACTCTGCGTATGACCTTATGTAAGTTTGATTCATTTGTTTGACCAAAAATATTTTTTTCACTTGCCATATCAATAACTAATTAAATAAATCTTAATAATTACACAAGACGATAGTTTATTTTTCACGGGAAAAAACGAAGTGAACTCAAATGTCGATAAATTCAACATTTACATCTAATTGTCAAGAAAACTTAATTGTAAAAATTCATTAAAAAAATGTATAAGCCAATTATAAATAAATTTAGTATAAACAATAATTATTTATTTTTATTTTATTATTGGTCAAAGAATACAATGTGTTAAGAGTTTATTATAGAGAATTATCAAAATATGTATATATTTTTTAAAGAAAAAACTTTTGAATTTGTATGTTTATTTATTACATTAGTTTACAAATGATACAGATATTTTATGAAAGTTCAAGTGGAATAAATTTGATATCGGTTAACAGAATATTTATACATATAAAATTTAATCTGTATGAAATAAAATATCGACGTTTGGATTTATTCTCTTGTAACTATTAAACATTTTGCCCAGGTGACATTGCTATTACCATTTAGTTATGAATAAAAAACATCATGCCATGTGATTAAAATCAACATAAAAATTTATTACGTTGAATATATAATATAGTTTAACAATTTAATTAATAATTGAATTGAAGACATAATAATTCTGAAAAAAGAAAATAACAGGAGATTTGAATTAAGTTTAACGACTTTAATAAAACGTAAATAACTTTATGGTTTAACTACCTTATAGGTTTACTTATTATTTGCATTTTTAATTTTATTATTATTATTATTTTTTTTTTTTGACAATAACGGCTATCTTTGTATCTTCAATATCTATTATATTGAAGTTTTCAATCTAATTTTAATCTATCAGAATAAACTATTTTCGTAGTGTTAGGCACTGTTCTTAATTTAGCTTTGATCTTTTACGTGTAGAAATTGATGTCATATACCTAATGTGAAAAATGAGATGATGGTATTTCTACAGTCATATTTTTTTTAGTTTTAGGCGAGTGTCTTCAACACATTTTTTTCAGGGTTATTAAGGATAGTGATAATTCTCATGATTTAAAAAATATTTAGTATGATATTTTGTTATGTTAGTTTTAAAAAACTTTTATTTGTATCATCTAAACGGTTTTATTTATTTTAGAACGGTATTAAATTAGTTATATAAACAAACAAAGATTATTTATTAGCATTTTAATTTTACCTAACTTTGTTTAAAATATTTTGAATTATTTTTTATATAAAAATTGTTTTAGAAATTGAATTTAAAACCTAATTTTTAAAATTTTTTTTCAAACTGCTTTAAATTATTTTAAAACGTTTAACATATACGTTGCATATAATGATAATGGTTATATGAATTAGAATTATTATAAACTGTACAGGATTATACGTATAGTTTTTATTCAAACTATATAAAATCCATATAAATTTCACATAATTTGTGGTTTTTTTTACAATCATTTCAACGGCGTAAAAAGATATATTAGACCAGTCAACGAAGGAGTAATTTTGGCGAATGGCGTAAAAAATTCCCAAACAAAATTTTTTTTTTTTTAAAGTTTAATTAAGATATGTATAATGACATACTAAAAGTCCTCATCGATTGGACTTGAGCTTTTTTTTTTACAGCCTCGCAAAAGTTCAAAAATATGAGCTTTTTTAATTTTCTCAAAAAATATTTAACTTACAATAAAAAGTTGTTTAAAAGACAATTTTAAACAAAAAAGGTATCTTATATTTTTTCATTTAAACAAATATTTTTCCAGTTACATTACATTTAATAGGATTACTAAAATTTATTTTCAATTTTTTTCCATTTTACGATTAATTTTTATCATATTATTCTTACATCAGACACAATGGTACAAATGGTTATATGTGTATGTATGAGTTTATTTATTTATAGTATCATTATAGTGTAGTTTATATTAAGATATAACCGATAGTTTAGGTAATTGATTTGACGCTAATTACAGACTGAATTTTATCTTAACAAAAGACGTTAGGTTTAACGATAATATACTTGTATAACAGTAATTTTTCGTCTTACAGCCGTGAGATAGTAATAGTAATACGAGCAAATATTTTGTGTTAAAGTAGTTTTGGGTTAAAAAATTTTTATAATTTTAAAATATGTCTTATATCACTTGCTGTATTTTTTAAAAAAACTCGAGGTGACTTTGTCGAAGTTAAGCAAAAAGGTTTATTGAGTCTTTTAAAGGCTAGTGAAATGCTTGGAGACAATAAATTTAAAAACTTTAGTGGCACGTTAATGGTATATAGAATGTAGAAAATAATATAAACGTAAATGTACCATTATAAGTGACCTGAAACAAGCAAGTGCTTCTACTTTTACTGATACGACATTACCACCTACACCTACCAAAAATTAAGTACGATCATCTCAGTCTCTTCAACTTAAAAGTAAGTGTTTATTTTGCTTTGAAATTATATTAGACAATTTCTCGGATATTCAAAAAACGAAGCCTGTAGAGTGTAGAGAAATTGCATGTACTGTAACTAGTTTAAACATAGGCCATTCTATTATTACTCAAGCTAAACAACGAAATGATTTATGGGGCAAAGAGGTTGAAAAGCTTTTAGCTAATGTAATTGATCTCGTAGCAGCTGATGGTAGATATCACAAACATTGTTTTGTTAATTTTTTCAAATCATCATCTAGAGTCAATTTAAAAAGAGGTAGACCGCAAAATGAGGACATTAAAATAGTAATGGAAAAAATATATTCTATATTAGAAAATAGCGAGGAATGTCAATTTTCGATTGAAAATGATATATTGCCTTACATTGATGATGATTATGTGCCCGACGTAAAAACTATTTGTGCAAAATTACTTGAAAAATATGGTAAAAATATTATCTTGAGTTCCGCAAATAAAAAAACCACAACTATATGTTTTCGAGGTACATGTCAAAATATATTGACAAAAAATTGGTATGAAAATCGAAAGTTTAATAAAGAGGAAGAGAGACAAAGAATTGTAGAGGCCGCGGCAGTAATTATTTTAGAAGATATTCGCTCACAAATATATGACACAAGTTCTTACCCAGCACCAAATTAATTTATAGAAAATGTTGATTGTGTCATTCCAAAAACATTGAATATATTTTTAAATAAAGTAATACTGAGTAATAAGAAAGGTGATAAAACACAAATATCAAAAAAATGTACTGCCATTGCTCATGCTATAATGTCAGCGACAAGACCTCGATCATTTCAATCTACTATTCAAATGGGTGTTGGTATATACCTCCATAGAAAATTTCAATCCAAAAATTTAATAAATATTTTATCTAGCCTAGGACTTTGCTCAACTTACCACGATATTATTAAATTTGAATCGTCTTGTTTCTAATATTAAAATATTAAATTATAAAATATTAAAAACTAATATTTTTGAAAACTCTTTCAGTCAATTCGTATTTGACAATGCTGATTTTAACTCATGTACTATCGATGGTTTAAATACTATTCATATAATGGGTGGTATATGCTGTTCTATACCAGCAACATCAGTTATTCCTAATGAACCTATACTCCTAGTTAAAAAACTTCCATCTTCAAATGAAATAAGCAAGTATGGTCAAGTAACCGTTTTTTATTATGAAAAACAAGTTGAAAGTGGATTAAAAAATGTTGAAATTCGAGATCTCAACCAATTGGTTACATTATTAAAAACTACAAAATACCTACAACCTATTAATGTTTTATGAGCCTGTGGAAAATATATAAAAATTAAAAATTTGAATACGATTACTCAAGAAATCCCAAGAATTGTCCAACAATATAATGAATCTGAGCTTCAAATGATCGATTCTGAGTGGAGAATGCTGAGAATAATTAATTTAAATAGTTCCATTACAAATATTAAGGATGTAGAAGAGTTTTGGATACATTTATATAATTTAGAATGTGATGGCGAGTTTAAATTTAGAAATGTAGCAAATTTTGTTCTAAAGATTTACCTCATTCATCAGTTGATTGTGAACGAATTTTTTCTAAAATTAACTTGATAAAAACTAAAATTAGGAACAGATTGCAAGTGGAATCTTTAAATGAATTATTATTATCAAGTGAACACATCAAAAGTGTAAGTTGTGAAAATTTTACCCCAACCAAGTCTATGTTAAACTTAATGAATAGTAAAATGTATAGTTATGAAGAAGCCAAAGAAACAGTTGAATTAGATAATCCATATTCTAATGTAGAATTTGGGAATTTTACAGCTTAATTTTATAATGTTATCATTTGATAAGCATGTATAATATATATGCTAACATTTCTTATACATTCATATATATATATGTTTAAATGATTTAATAATTAGTTCCAAAAGTAAAGGTTACTTTGAAATTTTGTTATATAAGTGATGCAAAAGTTTTTTTGTTTATTACTTTTAAAAAAATTCTCTTACCTCATTATATTAATGAATTTTTGAGTGATTAGGTTAAAGTACATGAAATAAAAGAGGATAGTAGATATCACTTAAGCTTAAATGATAATTATTATATTTGATCAAATATGATCATCTATATTTACCTATTTCAAGATATGGGGTTTGGTTTTTCTGCTATTAAAGAAAAAGTATATATAATTTCATAAAAATTATTCTATCAAAAAAATCAGGTCAAAAAAACACATCAAATACATGTATAACATTAATTAATTATATAATTTAAATTTAAAGAATATTGATCTAAAAATAACTACTTTTAACATACGTTCTTATGGGAAAACAAAAATAAGTAGGCCTCTAGCACAGTGTCGCGATCTAGCATTAAAATGTATATGCCCGTCACATAATCTGACCGAAATCGTAACATGTGAAATATACGTCGATGCTTAAACTACAATCAGTAGTAATGTGAAATTTTTTGTCCATACGGTCCTACACGGTAATTTAGAGAAAATTGTGCGGTCCGCGCAGTATTAAATGTTGGCAATGCTGGTCTAGCATTACCTGCTCTTTTGTCATATAAAGGCATAACACCGATAAAGAGGACAGCGCGTTTTAAATTTTTACGTTTTTAAAAGTGACGGCAACAATAAATACTGCCCCTCTTTAAAAATTATATAAACTATTTTTATTAGTCGGTTAATCATTGAACATTTTAAAAGTGTTGTTGTACCAAACAGTTTAGTGTAAAATTTATTTTCTCTATAAAATGCACAAAAAAAATAGATCGAACGTATGGAATTTTGTGGATAAGGATCCCAACTTTCCTAATCAAGTTATATGTAAATTGTGTAAATTTAAAATAAAATATGCTAACAATACATCAAATGTTTGGGATCATTTACGCCGAAAACATACAACGGCGTTGGAAGCAAATAGATTATCGTCTAAAATGAAGAACGGGATGAAATCAATGTTTTTAACGAACAGTCATCGCCCTCAACAAGTAAAATAAAATAACATTTTTATTAATCACTAATTAATCTAATAATCATTTAATATCATACTAAGACAACGCGATTATTATTGACTGTTTCCGTATCTTTTCTAAACGAGTTTTTCAATATAACTCTCATTGAATATTTTTTTTATTAATATATTTTAAAAATACCACTAAATAGATAAATAAAAAAAAAATTATAAGTATTTATTTATTAAATGTGTTCTTAAGGTTCTTTAACTACGAATTTAAATATGCGTGAACAAATAACGAAACAAACCCAAGGAACTCAACAAAGAAGACCAAAACAATTAATACTAACAAATAGGTAATAGTGTTATTTATACAAGTTACTATGTAAAATTACTTTTAAATAAAAGATAAAAAAATGATATTGATTTATAGGTTCAGCTTACCATCAGAGAGCAAAGTTGATAAATTTAATAAAGCTGTTGTCGAAATGATTGCAAAAGACATGCAACCGTTATCGATTGTAGAAAATAGTGGATTTAAAAAAATAATTAATCTTCTCGATTCGCGATACAAGTTGCCAAACAGGAAAATTATAGCAACAACACTCATACCTAATCTTTATAACTCTACACGTGAAATGGTTCAATCTATGTTATCATCTACAAAATATGTCGCGCTTACTTCATATATTTGGACTTCTATAAATACTATTTCTTTTATTACAGTGACTGCACATTTTTTCGATGTGAACTTTAACTTAAAGACGTATGTTTTAGCTACAAAAAAACTAGAATCTAGTCATACAGCACAATATTTGTCTGAAATTTTAACAGATATCATAAGTGATTGGGCTATCGAAGTAAAAGTCATTGCGATTGTAACAGACTCTGGTGCGAATATAAAAGCTGCAATTAGATTACTTGGGTTTGATCATATTCCGTGCGCTGCTCATAAATTAAACAATGCCGTAAAAAATGCTTTTCAATGCGAAGATATTGATGATTTTAATAATAACACTACTACAGCTTCTCGTTCTGATGAAATAGAAGTTAAGAAACTATTAAAAATGTGTCGATCTATTGTTGGACATTTCAAACATAGCGAAGTATCGAGTAGACTTCTTCGCGATAAACAAGAACAACTTAATTGTCCTATTTTAAAAGTAAAACAAGATATCGCAACTCGTTAGAACAGTACATTATGTTAGAACGTCTTTTAATGATTAAAGAACCTGACACGGCACCGCCTTTTGCTCTAGGCTGGCGCTCACCCGTGTCTCTCTCGATATCAGCCGTCCAACTATTAATATGACAATCGGTTGTCATCGGTCGTCTCCCCGCCCTTGACACTGAGATAAGGCCGCCGCCGAATATGGATTACCGATATTGCGTCCTGTTCCGTTTTCGACGTTCACCCGAACTGGTGCATTATTTCTTTCTGCTCGTCTTCTTTTTCTCGCCTTTTTGGACTGCGTTTTTAAGTAATTGTGCGCCTTGTCTTTGATTACGTACTACATAATTGAACGCCTTTTTGGACTGCGTATATTAAGTAATTGTGCGCCGATCTTTGGATTACGTATTAAACCCTTAATGCTAGTATCCATGTCTTTACCACGTTGTCCTAATATGCCAACAAATGAACAGTGGAAAGTTATAAATGATTTTGTTGCACTTCTGAAACCATATGAAAGTTTGACTTTACAACTATCATCAGAAAAACGACCAACTTTAGGAAAAGTTATACCACTTATAAGAGGTATGTATAAAGTTTGTATATGATGCATAAAAATTTAATAATATTAATATTATTATCAAATACTTCATGATATATTTTAATTTTTGTCTTAAAGGTTTACTATTAACAGTTGGAAATAAAAATCCAGCAACATCTCCGGGAAACTATTTGAAGAAAAATTTACTGGAACAAACAACAAAACGGTTTGGAGATATACAGGGAAAATATCCATCACATTTGTATTCAAAGGCGACAATATTATCTCCTCGATTTAAAAAAGCAGCTTTTACATCTATTGATAATGCTAATGAAGCTGAACAAGAATTACTAAAAGATCTTACTGAATATCTAGAAAATCATGGTAAATTTTATGTAAATATATATTATAACTAAATTAGTTAAATTTTTAGGTTAAATTCTCAAATATAAATATGATTACTTTCAATTGTTGTCATAATAAAATATGTTAATAGTGTCGAAAGATATAAAATACAATTCATACAACACGCATTTTTTTCAAATTATAAAACGCTTCTTAGGTTAAAATAAAAATTTCACATAAACCAATCTTAAAAAAAAAAAATTTATTAATATTATATTTAATTTAATGAAAATTAACTTTTTAATTTAGGTCCTTTGAGAACTGAACAAATTATACCAGAGAGTACGATTTCAGAATCTAATACCAAGTTGAATTCAATACCTGAAGAAAATCTACTTAATTTTTTAGAAACAACTGTCTCTACGCTTCGTTCTCAAACAACCTTCTCAATCACAGCAAAAGCATTATGTAGACAATATTTTGATGTAGAATTTTTAAACATAACAGATAATCCAATATTATTTTGGAAAAATAACAATCTAATGTTTGGGGCACTGTCCGAAATTGCATTAAAATACTTATGCATTCCGGCTACATCCGTACCATCAGAAAGAATATTTTCCAAGGCGGGTCAAATAGTCAGCATCAGACGTAATAGATTATTACCCAAAAACGTAGATAAATTACTTTTTTTAAATTCAAATTCAGAAAAATAATTACTATTTTATACTTAAAATAATCATATATTTTTTTATTTTGATATTTTATCAAAATTTACAGTGTTTTGCCATTTTGTTTATTAAAAAAATATTTTGTTTGTGTTTCTAATTTTATTATAAATGTTAATTTTAATAAAACAATTTTGTGATAATCTCACGAGAATTTATTTTAAAATTAAACACTCAATTACCTTGCTTACATTATGTAAGTAATATTATATTACTACATCTTTAATTGAAATATAATAGTAAAATAAATGTTGATGATATTTTGTTGTAATATAGAACATCAGCTTATGAAAAATATAAATTATACCGAGTGATCCATGAACCACTTGATTACTCGTAAAATAACAATAATTTTGAAAAAAAAAAATTTAAATAGTTTAAGTTATATAATATTTTTAATTAATCCATTAATAAATTCGTTTTAGGTTCATCCCTTATACCTTGTAAGTGTATCAAGTTTATTTTTTCAAATGGCAATATACATAATTAACTAACTTATAGGTTAGATAATAATATTATTAATAAAATGACTAATCGATAACAACTTTTGGACTAGTATTTCAGAATTTATAGCATTTTAAAAAATGAACTGAGGTGAGTCGCAGGTATATATTAGGGTTATATATTAAGGTATATATTAACTCAAACGCATTGTTCCAGGCACAGCACATGCACAGTCTAAAAATGACACAATCAAATTAATAATACGGGCAATTTAAAAATCATATATTAATTACAATAGTGGTATAATTGTCGCCAAACGCACGCGTTTTTTTGTTTTTTAACGAATAAACACGCATTACCCGGATAATCGATAAATAGACGTATAACGGATAAATTTACAAAACGGAATCAAACAATACCGCCGTCATCGTTAAAACGTAAATAATTCGAAAACCAAGTAGATCATCATCATCGCTGTAAAATTACCGATCGCACGTTTCGATTAATATATAATCGCAATAGAACTAAAAAATTTACAAAATCACATTAATAAATGAATACAGTCAATACACTATATGGAAATAATGACAGAATAAACGACGCACAAAACGGCGCGGTGATAACGACGAAAACGGACCGGGTGGGAGGCGCGCTCCCCTATTTTGCGTCGTTTCGCGTTCCATGAAATAGCGAAAATCGCGAATAAAAAAAAAAGGGGGCGCCGAAAAATTCGCGCGCCGCAAGGAAAAGATGCGAAACGATATGCTCGTCGAGGAGGCACCGAAGAGGCGGAGAAAAAAGAGAAAGGCGAATTTTAAAACGTAATATTTCTTCCCGGTAGAGCTTATTTAGAGGAGCTGGGATTTTAGTATATAGCTAGAGATTTATATGTAAATAGATAATAACAACATGATATAATAATTAATTATTAATGAATATAGCATCAAATATTAAAAATTAGTAAACCTAGTTTTATAACATTTTGGACATTTTTAATAACACAAGGTATTAAGTACTCAAAAATATTTTATCCTCTTGAATGACTATTTTAATAATTTTAGAAATTAAACAATTAAAACTTCTGTCGTTTTATTAGTTGTTATTTTAAAAAAATTCACTTTAAAAAAAATTATGAGCAAATTATTTTATAAAAATAAATTTAAAAAAACCCAGCACAGGGGGTCGCAGCACAGTGGTGACGTGGAATAGTTGGATCAAGTATAATGATATCTGACAGTGATTAAAATCACTATAAAAAAAAAACGCTTCGATGCAAATCTTTAGATAGTGTTTAATTTTAAAAAAATGGTGGATTATTCCTAAAACTACATGATCTGTTTTATTTTCTTATTAATATCCTGAATGAAAATGAGATAATTAAAAAAATATTATTTCTCATAAAAAAATTGTGTTGGTCCATACACTTTTCAATAAGTTATAGCATTAAAAAGTTAAAAAAGTAAAAAATAAAATTAAGAATTTTCACACGAAAATAGCATTTGGTAGCCATTTTCACCACGAAGACAAGTTCAGAGGTCAATTTTTTTTTTTTCATAATAAAATATATTACATTATCAAATTTGTAAATTAATTTTACATTACAAAAGTCAAGATGAAAAAGTTCTACTTTCTTTATACATTTTTATGTTTTGAATCCCCCCCCCGTATTAAGGGAAATAGTCCGATTTAAAAAACAAGTAAATCAAATTAAAGAGGTATATAAATATTATTTCTCATAAAAAAATTGTATTGATCCATACATTTTTCAAAGATTTATAGCGTTATAAAGTTAAAAATATAAAAAAAAAATTTTTTTCGAAAATTAGCGATTTTTAAATTTGTAATTTGTTTGGAGGTTACCCCCATTTTCGTGGAACGAGGGAAATTTTTTCAATTTTTGAGGGTAATGTCTTCGACTAGATACGATTTGTGATCTTTTGTCGTATCATTGAAAGAAATCCGTTCGGTGAGAGCTGAGAAAAAATGGCAACAGAAAAAAAAAAAAAAAAAACATCTTTGTAAAATTAATACCTTCTCAGCTTCGCATCGAAGCTAAAAGAAAAAGAAGTGTTAATTTCAAACGGGATTTTATTTTAATTTTTTAAGAATTTTTAGATTTCTTTAATTTTATATAATTTATAAATTACATAGTAATAATTGAAAATTCTGCACTATAATTTCTTATTTTGAGAAAAAAATAAAAATAATAACATAATAAGTAAAAAGTACTTTTAAAATTCACTACACTAGTAAATAACTTATGAAAAACACAACCTACGTGAATATTGTTTTGTTTTTTTTTTTTTTTTATAAAAAACTAATAATTATCAAATGCAACTCTTAGTTACTTTAAAACTTTAATTTAATAATATTTTATTCAATTCAAAAGGAAACATTCATTCGTTAGAATGGGGAAATTGTTCATTAATTTATTTTAAGAATTAATATAAATAAATATTGGTTAAAATATAGATTACTATTTTCATTGCTCTGACAACAGTAAAGTATAATCTAAACAGAAAAAGAAATTAAATTTTTCCGTTCAGTTGTCTGTAAGTAAGAGATTTTGTGTTTAAGTACGTAAAAATTTCTTGTATAGTTTTCTAAATTATCGTAAATTGCATAAAGTTTTGAGATTACTCAAGTGATTATTACGTTTTATCGATAATGCCAAACATGAAAAACAGAAAATGTGACGAGGATGAATCGTTAGCCTCGAACTCACAGACAAACAATATTTCTAGTGAACATAATTCAGTTGATCCGAAAACTGACCATTCTAATGGAAAAAGAAAAGTTAACAATGACGATGAAACTACAACATTAAATTCACCGCCGAAGAAGTTAGCAACTGGAAAGTGTATAACTGATACAAGTGCTGGCCAGTCTAGTTCTAAAAGAAAAATTAGCGATGATTACAACGAATATCAGAGAGCTAAAAAAAACCCGTAAATATATTAATTTATTAAATTATTTAGTTTTCCGAAAGAAAGTAAAATTTTTAAAATTCAACTTTTTATTTGCAGTCAGCTTTTTTTAAGTTTAAATTTAATATTGATATTTTAATTTAATGATAGATTTTTTTTTTTTATTAATTTGAACAACTTTATTTTAACTACTTTTATATATTTTTTTTAATAAGCTGCAAAATAAAATTTGCATTTTTCTTAAAACAATTTAATTTTAACTATGATTAAAAAATTAGATGTTGGGATCATCAAAGTAACGTTAACTCAACAACTTTTAGTTCAGTTTTAAGCAATTCGCAAGAAGATTATTGTCAAGTTGAAGAAAACGGGTGCCTTAATATTTCTGGACAAAACCCGATTATCTTGGATACCTTCAGTTTAGTTAATAATGAAGAAATATTTCACGATGAGATCATATACAATAGAATAAATATGAACTCCGAAGAAAATTCCACTTCATCATTTACAGAAGAAAAATGCCATGAATCGGAGTCCGATATGTTGGAAATATACTGTGGTGGTCAAGTTGAAGAGAACGTTCATGTTGTTCCTGAACGTATTCCAGTCGTTATGCGCAGTTTTCCTTTGGGTGATGATAATGAACATACTTATGAAGCCTTTCATAAGATATCTAACACGAACTCCGAAGAATTTTCCTCTTCGTTGTTGACAGAAGAAAATGGTTACGATTCATCTGACTTGTATGATAAACAAGAATATCGAATTGATGACCACATTTATTTAGAAAGAAACAGCTCAATTGATGTCATTCATCAACAACTTCCTGTCATTTTGAATACCTTGGATGAGCATGACAATGTTGAAAACATTGATGACAGTTTTTCTGAAGAAGATGATATAATGAGATATCAAATGGACTTTGATGATGTCGTTGTAGATGATGATTATGTCGAGAATGAGCATGAATATTTTGATTCCGGATATGAATCTTAATTGATTTGATATGAATGGTTCTTAATGATTCTGACAATACAGAAATTAATATTCCCATTCAACCATTTGAAAGTTATGTATCACATATGTTGGTCAATGATCATTGGAATATAAGCAGTTTAGATTCGGAAAAATCTGACAATGACTTCAGCAGAATTTCACATACTGAAAATCTCATAAACGTTGAAAATGAAAATATTATGGTTATTGATGAATTCAATGAGCCAATTATTGAAGATTATTTAAAGTCGTATAACTTAAATATTTTAAATACGATGGCAAACATTTTTGAATTTTTATTTTAAATGTTTATTTATAAAGTACTTTCATTAATACATTCCAATGCCACTATTATTTTTTTTTTAATTTAATAAAACTTTTATGATTTATTCAGTTTTAAATTTTATTAAACAATTTTTTGCTTATCAAATGATAAAATTATTTTTATCTATTTACGTGTAAAGTTCTGTTTTTTATTAAAAGTATTTATTTTTGTTAATATCTGAAATGTTTTTTAAGCAATACATTTTTGTTCCATATATTTCTTTTTAAATTATTGACCTTTTCAGTGAGTTATATGTATTTGACAAATTTTTGCTGTACTTAATTAAATATGTTTCATTTAAAATCTATTTTTTTATTATTTTAAGATTAACTTTATTTT